TCGCAATTAACTGTAAATCTGTTAACAACCACCATCAACTTCAAGAAAGCAGTTTCTTCTTTAGCAATGATGCATATTATCTTAAATGTCTCTAACAAATAAACAAGAAAGAAAAAAAAAAGCAGAAGCAGAAGAACAATGACTACACCAAGAGCAATCTAACAAACAACAACAAAAACAACAATCTAAGACAAATGAACAACAACAAACTATAAAAATAAAAACAGATGAACATATAGATGACCAAACCACAACTGATCTATTTAAAAGTATTCAATATATTTCATCAGATATGTACAAACAATTACAAGAAGAAGAATCCAAAATACAGAAAGAACTTAACAAACTCAGACAACAAGAGAGAAAAAAGACAAGTAACAAATCCTCGGTAGAATTAGACTGGTTTATTCTATTTCCTATTAATAAAGAAATGGAAAAACAAACAAAACTCAACCCATTACCCAAACAAATTCTCCTTTTTATCAAAAAATATCTATATAACTTTTACCCAAGAAAAGAAATTAAGCCTGCTACAAAAACAACGCATACAGCTCACCCCCAAAAAATTTCCCTGTCACGTGATGATCATCCTGATTATTTTCGGTTTCGTGTAATATTATGTCATCGATTTTTTTTTTTTAAAAATTTGAGTACAAGACTACAATTTTTATTAATATATCGCACGAATTATTTTACTTTTAATATAGTACTAAATTTATTAAATAATTATTACGTACACGATTAAAATTTATAAAACATTGTTTGCTTATCACAATCTTTCTACGTTCTTGGTAATTTTTTTTGATTTTTTAATGCCTTACACTTAGTTAACATTTTCTCTATCCCATTTATTGCCTCTTCTGCCACTAATAAAAACCGTAGATCCTTATACTGCTCTTGACTCTTAAGTAAATCGGTCTATTGTTGAAGCTTTTGTGTGACACGATTGTTAACTTCTTCCCATGATTCGTCAACTTCCTCAAAAAAATCATCATTCTCACCTTCATATTCTTCAAGCGCATCTACAAGTTCATCATCAGTCTCATTATTTAATTGTTCAACAAAATCTTCGTCAGCTTCGTTAGATTCTTCATTTTTAACTGACATATCTATATCAATTTCTTCTTCTAGTTCATAAGTTTCATCCTCCTCTACTGGTTCTAAACCTTGTACTAATGGAATTAGATCCTTATGTCTCCAGAATGGCAGAGATCTGTAACGTTTAACTTCATTAAAGAAGTTGGGTTTTATTTGACAAACAGATTGCACCAGATGTTTACAGAGAAGAAAATGACTATCAAGGTAAGCTGGGTATGAGCAGGTCCACATTTTAGAATCAGTGGCATATGAATTACCGCTTAATGTTTTTTTTGAGCATGTTTTCCAATCGCATTTAAAGACAGAGTGCCATGATGCTGTAGTTCTTGTTTTAGAATTTGATTTAAGATCTCGCATCTAATGATATAACGTAGAAGAAGACGTTCAACAAGAATCCATACTAATAAGTCAACACGTGGTTTATTAAATTTATTAATATAATTATATTTAATAAGTCTCTAGTGTGACTCTACGATCATTGTCATCTTTAATACAGAAATTTCTTTTTTTGCACTTCGTGCCCAGGTAGACCACTTCGATGAATTATACCACTCTACTCACAAATATGACCATACCC